ACCCCCGAGGGCGTGCGAGCGCCTGGCACAGGCGAGCTGGCCCTCATGGTGGCCTCCGTTGGGGCATCTCCCCGCCGTTTGAGCTAACCCTGGCCTCTCTGGCATCAACCCGCTTCCTCGAGCCGCCGCGCCTGGGTGTAGTTCCCCTTCAGGCTGTGATCCTGGGGCGGCCGAGCTGACTTCAGCGCGGTGTGGACGCCAGTTTTCCCTCAGGCTGCCCTTCATGGCAAGCCCTGACCCGGCTGATCTTGCGAAGCGTGAGGGCCCTGCGGCCAGCTCAGCGTGCCGGCTTTGCCGCCGTGAGGGGCTAAGGCCCGTTTGGCAGTTCGGTGGGAGCAGAGGTGTTTCATGTCTTCAAATAACCAGGTCCTACCCCTGCGCCGTGGTGCGTCCGGGACGCGGAGGACGTAACTGCGTGTGCCCTGGGGACCTGTGTGGCCCAAGTGAAACCAGTCCTTGGCAAATCCGGCACCCCACTCACGACGTGAATACAGGGACCCTCTCTTCTGTCTGGTATTTACCAGAACAGACATGTGAGTGCCTGGTGCCACCATTCCCATATTCCGTCACCTGAAGTCGCTTAATGTCTCTATTGGGAGCAGAGCTTTGTTCGCTTTCCGTCATGTAAGTGTTTAGTTTTTATCTGATTCGGTCAGCTGTCCCTTCTACTCTGCCAGGGTATCACTTTTTCAGTTCAAACAGTAGTTTCTTCCTTCAGGGTTTGGGTAGTAATTCTATACAGTTCTCATTGTTTAGTTTGATGGTGAAATGAAACATGTTCAAACATAGAAATGCAAATTTTTCCAGACAGGGAGAAATTTCTCTGGAATTGTTTCCTTGCCCATAGTTTTCAGTTCAGTGTCTTCTCCTCCTTGAATTTGCCTTCACCTACTTCATTTTGGTTCCCATAAGCTTACTTTTAGTCACTCCTCAGAGACATGACTGTAGGGTACTCAGAGTGATTTCTTATCCCCATCTCTGCTTTTATTCAAGATCCACGTGCATTAACTTCATTTACATTCCAGTTGAAGTAAATGTACATTTTAATAAGAATTATAAAAATGGAACGTAAGAAGCTTCACCCTGGGGTTTGAACAATTCCCAAACCAATGTGAAGGGACTTGTTAAGGCTTTGGGAAGATGTGGGAAGGCATGTTTTAACTTTCTAAACAATAGAGGAGATCCTCTGTTCCAGACTCATGGAACCATTACTGTTTCCCAAGTGGGAAGCTCAGGCTTTTTTGGGTAGAAGGGCTAGTTTGCTTCCCTCTTGGTTTCATTAACACTAATTAGAGGAAAGAAAGGATTCTCATGCTGGGCTTCTTCCGTGTTGACAATATCAGGATGAAGAGCTGGATTGCTCCACGGAGCTCTCAGAGAGGAAAGCTGTGAAACATTTACCAGCTTATCCGATAATATAAAGGGGGAGAAGCCCCTTTATGAGCTGGATGGGTACATTTCTATTCCTGTTTCTGTGTGTGCGATGCAAACTCTCATGTCTATTTTAGCGATGCTAAATGCTAATAGAGTCAAGGGTGGTGTTAAGGTGACTGGCTAAAGTAGGGGAACTTCATAGGTCATAGCAATCTTAAGAACAAAGATATTTGAGTGCTCTAAGTGTTTATCTGCCCAATACTTTGTTCCACAATATCCAAAGGATAACAGCAATGCTTCCAATTAAGCTGCACGAAGTTTGAAAGTTGGTGACACAGGGGAGTTCAGAGAATGAAGTGTCTCCCGGTAGCCAGCAATGACCAGCAAAGCTCTCCACCATGTAGCAAGACCATAGGGAGCACGCCAGAAACCCAGCAGTCTCAAGAAAGAGTAACACTTACATATTGGATGTACATAATACTTGTTGAAGTGTTGAAGATAAAATGGTCATTTGTAGAATCTGGCACACATCACTATTTCCATAATTCTGATATCCCATATCTGTCATGACCACACTTTTAAAGTAAAAACCCAAAGCACTCTCTGGCACGCATTTTAGAGAAACTAATCACCCTGAACCAAAAGTACACTTCCAAAAGAACGCGCGTAAGTGTCAGCACTGCCAAATTGTGATTCAGTAGCAAAGTATGCATTTTTCTCAGAGCAGAGGATGTTTCCTAGAGTTTCCTAAGAGTGTTGTGGATGAACTGATCATGAAACATCTAGTAAGACTCCAGTTAGAGAGGAGTAATTCTGCGAATTTCTGTTCTTGTTCCACTGTAGAACCATTTTCCCAAGTGAGTTTTACAACCCAACCTGTTACCTCAATTACACAGTCAACTGTGTGAGTGTACCTAGGTGCCGAGTTCACACATAATTGGGAAAAGCCTGTCATTGATTCCAACCGCAGGCCTCTGAGGCAATGCCAATGCCAGATTGCTGCTAGCGAGACCGCATTGTTCAGAAATCAGTCAGCACCAATAAGCCAGACAGAGGTTTGTGCCCTTCAGTATCCTGGAGTAACTGGCCAGGGTGAACTTCAGAGCAACACAGTAAATTGTTCCCGTCGGCCCTGAGAGGTACAGCTCCTGGGATATCAATCACTGATATTGAAAGTGATGACTATGTCACGCTAGTAAACTCAAAGGCAGTCTGGTAATTCCACTGAAGTTCTCCACAGGGCTCTTTGGACTTGTAGTTTAGTATCAATTAACATGGAGAGCAAGCAAGAAATAAAAATAAATGCCAAAGAGCCTATTTATACTGAGTTAAATCTTGCTACAGCTTGCTGCAGCACCAAAAGCTATAGATCTTTGAAAACACAAACCAGTTCTGAGTCTCCTACGGTGTGAACACACCTGTTTTAGCACAACAACAGAGCTTGTGCCCACCAAGATCCTCATTCCAGAAATCTTAAATCTGGGGGTGGTTGATTTTCTGGTCAGCCATGTCCAAAGTCCAAATCTAAACTGAGTAGCTATATACCCTACTAGATCCCCTTCCTTAATGCCCTCTTATACAAGCTCTCCCTTCTTGGAGAGGACGAGGCAGCAAGAGAAACATAAGGACACAGACATCACATTGCACTCATAATAGTGCTTTTAGTGTTACTCCTTCAAAGGCATGTCAGACCTATTTTGTACACATGGCAGTAACCTGAAACGTGTTTTTATGTATTGAGGCTTGTTCAGTCACACTGTCCGGCATTTCCACATAATAGAGAGAGAGTTCATATTTGATCAGGTATATCCATATGCACTTAAAGCAAATTTATACTGGACAGAGCAACTGATCTCAAATTGACATTTTAAGTAAGTGAAAAACCTGAACATACCAGTTGTCTCAAAAGACAGCTTTTGCAATTGGAATCTCATTTAAAATAAACACAGATGTTTAATTT